ATATATTTTTGAGATTATACCCTTGTCTGAGGTAGCATTGGCAAATATGTTTTCCCATACAGTTGGTTCTCTTTTTATTTTGATACTGTTTTCTTTAGCTGTGCAGAAGCTTTTTATTTTGATGATATCATTTGTTTATTCTCTCCTTTATGTCCCTTGCTCGGGGGGACATATCAGTAAAAATGTTGCTGCGTGAAATATCTGAGATTTTCCTGCCTATGTTCTCCTCTAGGACTTTAATGGTGACATGACTTATATTTATGTCTTTTATCCAGCTTGAATTTATTTTTTCTCTATGGAGTAAGTTGGTGCTCAAGTTTCATTTTTTTGTATGTAGCTGTCCAGTTCTCCCAACACCATTTGTTGAGGAGACTGTTCTTACTCCATTTTATGTTGCTGCTTCCTTTGATAAATATTAATTAACCATAAAGACTTGGGCTTATTTCTGCGCTCTCTGTTCTGTTCCATTGGTCCATGTGCCTGTTTTTATGCCAGTACCAGGCTGTTTTGATTACAGTGGCCTTGTAATACAGTTTGGTATCAGGTATTGTTATCCCTCCTACTTTGGTTTTCTTTCTCAAAATTGCAGCAGCTATTCAGGGTCATTTATGGTTCCATATCAATTTTTGAAGTGTTTGTTCTATGTCTGTGAAATATGCCATTGGTACTTTAATGAATCTTGTATTATTTTTATAACCTCGTTCCCAAGGGATGCTATACATATTTCTGCTAGAAACCAGAGTTGGAGGGCAGGCATCCTCTATTTTCTTTATCACTCTTGGTATTAGTGTAGGAAATTGAGCATCACAGTGAAGCTGACCCTACAGATACTTCTCTGTGAAACTGTTGTCATTTTCCTTATGCACTCCTCTGAAGTCTCCACCAGCCCTCTGGTATTGCCCCCTTGTCTTTTGTATATACAAGAAAGAAAGAAGAAAGAAAGAAAGAAAGAAAGAGGCCCACTTTAATTATTCAGTTCTTGACTTGCTCCCCTTGCTTCTAGAAGCTGTGATATATGCACCATTCAACTCCTTGCCTTTGTGGTAATTGACAAACAAACAAACAAACAAAACAGTCTATCATGTGTATGTGCTATCAGACTATCCATAGAAAAACTAGAATATTCTCCCCAGCCCACTCTGAAAGAGAATTACACGTATTGTTTTTCTAAATTCCTAAGCTTTTTCTAGCCCCTAATATTTTCAAAACTCTCCCAAATGATTCATATGGTTGTGGCCTTTCAACCTTCTTTAGAAAAAGAAGTACCCCTATGTTTTAAAGATTCCAATGTGGAAATGGAGAAATAAAAACAGCCCTTTCTACTTAGAAGGCCAAAAGGCACCCCCTGGCATAGACCAAGCATTTGGGGGAGTCTTTATTTCCACCCCAACATTCTCTTCCTTTCTTATCCATTTCCCTAGGTTTCTTTTGGCCAGAGATGGATCCTGAGGTGGAGGATCCAGCAGAAAGGTATCCAGCAGATTTATATGAAAGATCTTGACCTGGCTATTCAGATAATTGAGGGGAAGTGGAAGAGGTTGGAAAGGTAGGGAGGCAGAACTTTGTAACAAAACCTTTGTCTACATAAAGTACTTGTATCTCACATGACTCATTATAACTTTCCCAGACTGAAAAGAAAGCCATTGTCCTAAAAATTCTCTTTAAAATTATACTATGTACACATACATACACAGAGATACATGTGCACATACATGCACATATACACAAATATATACTCATAAACATACACACAGATACACATACACACATAGACATGTGCATTTACACACATACACATCCCTATTCCTCCTTGGTTGGGTCTGTAGTAAGGATCTATATATCACCGGGCTTCAAGGTCCCTCAGCTAACAATGAGGAGTGAGTGGGCCTTTGTAGCTCTGTGTCCATCCCTGGTGATCAAGCAGGTTTCCCCCTCTTCTGTCAGATAAACAAGCCATGCATTGTTCTGTCCACCAGTGTATGGGCTTCCTTTCCTGCTGAGCTAGCCAGAAGGAGCTTGGACTCCTTCATGCGGGGCAAGTGGAATGTGCTGTTGTGGGAGGCTGGAAGAGCCACAAAGAGTAAACAGAGGTAATCAAGGACACTCTTTTGTGCTTTTCCTTATCTAAACACTTTCAAAAGAGAAAAGAGCCTACAGTAGGTTATGGCCCAGACCTCTGACTAAGTACAACCCAAGCAACAGAGACCATATTTTCCTTCTTGCCTTAGGGTATGACAGAGCCATGGTTCTCTTTCTGCTTGCCCCTTACCTGGCCCCCTCTAAGTATGTCCTGAAGGGTCTGCTAGGAGCCAGGATCAGAGACAGTTAGTAATGTCTGAAGATATTGGGATGACAGCCCACTACTAATACAACTAGATATTGACTCCTTCCAGAACTGGTCCTCCTCTATCCTCTCACCTCTCCCACCAGTCTTTACAAGGACTCTTCTGGGAGCTAGCTTTTGGTTTATCTGCTACTTCTGCCTGCATGTGCTCACACCCCAATACACACATGCTCACTTCTTATCATCTGAGTGCTTGGAAAGAAGTAGTCATTTTTACCTACCAGGGTTACACTTGGTCATATTATCTGGAACTCAGCTCTGCTAAGTGAGAGGGTGCCCCCTTTATTCCTACCCCATCTCTCAGCCTCTTTCCCTAATCCTATACTAGCCAAACTGCTCACATTCTTCTCTTACTTTCCTTGCCCAAGAATTTCTTAATTATATGCTCTCTGTGTCCACCTTCTTATTCTATCATCTCATCTGGTGACTACCCAAATCATATTCCCACCTGCCTCCCTACCCCAACCAGTCCCATGAACATGCTTGTGCTTCTAGTCATAATTTCTTTAGCCTCACCTGGTCACTGACAGGGCCAGACTGCTATCAAACTTGTTATTTACTTTGTTAGGAAATGGGGATCAGCAAGCCTCACTAGGGAAGCGCTTTTAAGGCCTTGGTTACTGAATGGAAGGGTGAATGTATTTGGTGATCAGAAAATTAGGAAATGCTGGACAACCAGACCTGAGTAATGGCATGAGGAGAATGTTTATTTTGATGTTTGTTTATTTGTTTGTTTGTTTCAGGCCAGGGTTTATTCCCTAGTGTACTATTAACAGTTTTGTATTCCCTAGTGTATTGTCAGCGTCTAGGTATGATACCCACAGCATCAGCATTACTGTAGAGTTTGTTAGAAGGTCAGAATATAGAGCTCACTCTAGACCTTTTCTTTTAAAAAAGACTTATTTATTTATTCATTCATTCATTCATTCACTCATTCATCTATTTATTTTTAGAGCGAGGGGAAGGCAGGGAGAAAGAGAGCAAGAGAAACATTAATGTGTGGTTGCCCCTTGCACATCCCCAGCTGAGGACCTGGCCCACAACCCAAGCATGTGCCCTGACTGGGAATCAAACCGGCGACCCTTTGTTTCACAGGCCGGCACTCAATTCACTGAGCCACACCAGCTAGGGCTCACTCTAGACCTTTTGAATTAGAATATACATGTTAACAAGATGCCTTTAGATTAGTATGCCCATTAAAGTTTGAGAAGCTTCTTCTAGAGTACTAGGTTTGGCTTCTGAACTTTGTCTTAACCAGTCCTTTCTCTTTCATCTTCATTTGGATTGAGGAAGTTATTTTTCTTGCCACTAATGGTATCTTGCCTATTATTATTTTTGGTAGAGGATAATAGTGATAACAGATACCATTTATTGAATATCTCTGAGGTTCTGTGACATTGCAGAAATTGAGGTTCTGTGACATGCTCAAAGCATAACAACTAGTTAGCAGTAAAGCTGAGACTCCATGGCAGATCCATATGCCCACAAAAATTATCAAACTTTTTCTATACCATACTTATACCAAAGGAGGGCCTATGGACTTACTTGAATGGTACCTGACTTTTGTAGAGTAGATAAACATCCACCCTGACTTCCCTAGGAGGTACAGAGGGGAAAGAGGCCTTAGCCTACTGGCATGATTTCCCCAGAGAGGAAAGGCCCTAGCATATTTGTCCAGTGGGAGCTCACGTAAGCCCTTTCAGGAGCCAGAATTTGCTGGAATTGGGACCAGAGGTCAAAGGAAACTAGAGTGGGGATCAGAACTATTATGAAGGGAAATCCCCAAGAGAAATAAAATTTTGATGCCTGAGCTTGGACTTTTAGAATATGCAACAAACACATGTGGGGTTATTCTAGGTTCTGGCTATTGCACAGGTCAGTGAGGACACCATTGAAACCCTAGGCCTGGGGCCTAGGACTATTACATTATAGCATACTATAGCTTGAAAGGTGGTTTGTGATGATAGAATCCAATATTTTGTTTTGCAGAGAGGAAACAGAAGCTCAGAGAGGGGGAGTAAGTTGTCAGAGGTCAGAGCAAATTCATGGTAGAGGCAGGGATGCTGAGTGTGAATGTCACTCTTCAGGAGATGGAATATCTGGGATGAAATGGAGTTTTCTTTGGGTCTGCTCAGTTGCCTATAGGAAGCACAGACCCAACATATATATGGCACAGAATAGCTTGAGTCTTTATATCTCAATAGGACCTTCACCTTAGAAAATCTCTAGGTCACATTCCCCAAGCTGTGTAAAATCAGTGCAGTGCTTTTTGCTCTTCCGGCCCTGGAAGCTACTGGGCCTGGCTGATCTGGGCTTTCCTTTTCTGTGGCCCAGAGGACCTGCGGAGATGGCTGGGTGGGGTCAACTCAGTCCAGGAAGCACAGGAATTCTTTTAAGTGTATGTGTCTGGGGTATTTTTCTCTCTTACTTACGTGTATTTTTAAAAATTCTCTTTAGACACCCACTTTATCTTTCCCAAACATCATTTCCTTGCTCCTTTCCTGAGTTCTAGCAGTGGCTGGGGGCCCAACTTCCTTATTGGCCTCTGAGCTGTGGAAGGGGGTGGGCCAGGGCTCAGAGGAGGCTGGAGTAGGGAAGAAGGGGGCTGTTTATGCTACTGGAACTGCCTTTCACCCTTCCCTTTGCCACCAGGGTGCTGGCTAGTTTCTTGAGCAGTGTCTTACTCCTACAGTTAATGCTGTCTTTCATTCACTAAGATTGTGGCCACATCTAGGGCCAACCAGACTGAGGGTCATACCTTGCCTTCAATTCCACCCCTTTGTGTTCTTGGAACTGGGACCTGACTGTGGCTGGGCACCTTGGATCACACTCAGGAACTTGGGCCTATGGCCCCTCATCTCAGGAGGTCTTAACAGGAAAGCAGATGACTCTCAGCTAAGGGATGAACCACCTTGCAAAAAGAAGCCCTGGGGTCTGACTGGAGGGGTTGTTGATGAGCATCTGAGTTGGCTGCTCCTAAACCATCTCCCAACCCTGGGCAACTTTCCTGGTAGGTACAACTAGTAGCCATGGTTGCCATGGCTGCTGCCCCCCTCCCCACTTCTGCTTTCTTTCTTCAATATCCATTACTTTTTGCTTTCCAAGGAGTTTTGGGGTAATAAATGATAGGGTGTGTGTTTACTGTTAGTCCTGACCTGTCCTTAGAAGTAAGGAATAGTTTCTTATAAGGAATACAATAGCTTGGAAATGCCTGGCTAATGGTTCCCATTGTCTTACCTCTCTGCTCATTTCTCCTCATCCCACTTCCCCACTGCCTAAGAGAAGGGGTGGTTTAAACTTGAGGACTACTGATTTCCTTTACTGACTGCTTCTTAAGGGAATGGCTAGGAGAAGCCTCAAGTACACAAGCTTTTTGAGATAGATAGCTCTTTGGGGAAAAGTAGATGTGTGATATCCTAGAAAGGGCTGGAGTATCTGAGCCTCATTTCCAGCTTCTGGTTACTAGCTGTATGTATACCCTTAGCAAAGTAATTCAGCTCTCTGTGTCTCTGTTTTCTAATCTGTAAAGAGAGGAATACTCTTATTGATAAGGTTGGAGTGAGGATTGAATCAGCTAATGCATGCAAAGTACTTAGTGCCTAGCACATCTTAATTATTCAATAAGTGGTCCCTGTTGTTATTTTTTTTAAGTTTATAGTATTTCAGGCACTATACTGAGTGATTTCACACATGGGACTTAATACAGACTATAATTCCTGAGTAAGGGGTGGTTATCTTCCCCATTTTGCAGATAAAGAATCTACAACTCAGAGAAGTGTTTTACACAGTAACATAGCTAGGATTGGAATGTAAGTGTGGACTAAGTCTAGATCTCCTCAAGAATAATTATAGACCAACTATTAGATTCTATAGATAGTTTCCTCCCCTTTCCCAAACTAAGGAAGGCTAGGAGGCTCCAGCTCTGGTGCCGTTCATCTGCTGGGATTTTCTCCCCCCTAGCTTGCAGTTTCCCCCCACAGTGTCCCCAAAGCCCTCAATGCCTTGCTTATGTTTTCTTTGGGGTTTTTTCCCATTCCTGAAGTAACCCTAGAGAGAGTAGGAGCCTTTGTAAGCTACTTTTCAAAATGTGGCAAGGGAGTAGTACAGCAGAACTTTGACAGTGGATGGAAAAATCTGGGTGGGAGTACTCTTAAACCATGAAGGACAAGTCTGAGCTGATAACCTTTATTAGAGTACCTATTTATTGACAACTTGCCAAGTATCAGGCTGTGTCACAGATGCTTTGAGAATATTATCTCTAATCCCCATAATAACCTAGCCAGGTAAGGATTATTGTTCCCTTTTTCAGATAAGAAAACTGAAGGTCAAACAGGCTAAGTGACTTGCAAAAACTCACATATCTAAAGTGCTGGAGTTAAGAAATGAACCTAGATCTGTCTCACTTGGTTTTGCCTCATTGCCTGCTGGCTCAGTATAGCTGGTAGGATGAGACTAACATGCATGAAAAAATGATGAACAGTATAAACCCCCTGTTATTATGGGCTAAACTGTGAGGACTAGATTACTAAGGGCAAGCACCCTGAAGGAAATGGTACTTGAGCAGTACCTTGAAGAACAGGTAGAATTTAGATTAACAAAATGAAAGGGGGGAATTCCAGGCAAAGGAAGTAGTCATAGTAATAACTAAAATTGAGTAAGGGCTTACCAGACCCTATTCTAAGCAGTTGGCATGCATTGTCTCATTTGATTTTAACAAACCCCATTAATTAGGTACTATTATCCCCATTTTACTACCATGGCAGCTTAAGCTCTGAGAAGTAAAGTCACCTAACTAAAGCAACAGAGTTAATAAGTGTTAAATCTAGGATTCAAACCAAGGTGGTCCAACTCCAGAGCCTGTGCTAGATTCTACTAGAAAACCAATAGCAAAGGCACAAAGCTGGTTGAAGAGTGTGATTGGAGCAGAGATATGGGATTGGGATGGATGAGTAAAGATAGCTTATAAAGGTCTTTGAAAGTCTGATCCAGTCTACATTTGATATAGGACAGAATAAGAAATTGGGATCCAGTGAAGATTCTTGAATAGGAGAGTGCCTCAATTCAGTCGGCATCTGACATGATATTTAAAACTAGTGACTGAAGGTGGAACAAAGGGAGACTGGATGGCAGACTGACATAGTAGTTTGGATATAAAGTGTTAAGGGCCTGGGCTAGAACAGGAGGTGTTGGTGGTGGGTCTGGGATGTGTGGAGGAGAATTATGATTATGTAGAATAGTCTCAGTGAGAATGGAGAGAGAAAGACAGGCAAAGCCAGAGAGATGTCATAAAAGAAGACTCTGAAGAATTCAGTGAGTAATTTGACTATTGGGGAGAAGATAATATTAAAGCTGACTGCTTACATTATAAACCCTGGACTTAAAAGAACTTGAGGAATCCTGGATGTGGAAGAAGGGCCCAAAATAAGAGAGGTCCCCTGTTCTCCACTGTATGCTTAGTGCCCAGAGATATCATACATAAGTTGGTACAAAGTCCATAGTAGCACATTGTATTTCTGGTGAGATGCCTTATAAATAGTTGTTAATGGATTTCCACTGAGTACAGCAGCTGGAGAGACTTCTAGCATCAGGGTTTCATATATGAGACTCTGGAGCAGGCACCCTCCCCACAAGGTCTTCTTGAGTCTTCAGCCTCCCTGCTGTGCACTCTGAAATCCATAATAGAACAATGTGGTTAAAAGTGGGGGCCTCACCTGGCTTTCTTCCCCAATAAATCTGAGTCACTGCTACTGACCTGTCTACTCTGGTTCCAGACCTTTGGCAAGCAGCTTCCCCTACCCTTTCTCTTATACCACCTTGTCTGTGGCTGGTCTGTTACCAGTCAACCCATCTTTTCTCCAGCAAGGCCATTCTCGTCAGGACTACATTTTTAAGCCTTAGCCCTCTAGAGCCTTGCACTGCAGGAATTTTCTGTGTTTCTGCTGAATTACCCCCACTATATAACAAGCTTCTTGAAAACAGGGACTTCTTGAAAATCTTAGTCAATTCTGCACCCTCAGTATCCGGCATGGAGTCTGCCACAGTAAATGACTATATAAATTAGTAAATAAGTTGTCATTCATTTACCTCTCTGTCATCTACTTATTTATCATCTGTTTCTCTTACTCTCATTCATCTCTCTCTGTCATCTAATTCTCTCTACTATGTATTTATCTATAATCATTCTCAGAGGTTTCTCCCTCTCTCTCATTTGTTTTGCTCGGTATCATCTTTCCTTCTTATCTCTATCATTCACCTGCCCTTCCAACACCTACCTTTTCTTTTCTTTTCTTTTCTTTTCTTTTCTTTTCTTTTCTTTTCTTTTCTTTTCTTTTCTTTTCTTTTCTTTTCTTTTCTTTCTTTTCTTTCCTTTCTTTTCTTTTCCTTCCTTCCTTCCTTCCTTCCTTCCTTCCTTCCTTCCTTTTCTTTCTTTCTTTCTTTCTTTCTTTCTTTCTTTCTTTCTTTCTTTCTTTCTTTCTTTCTTTCTTTCTTTCTTTCTTTCTTTCTTTCTTCTTTCCCTCTTCTCTCTCTCCCTCCCTCCCTCCCTTCCTTCCTTCCTCCCTTCCTTCCTTCCTTCCTTTCTTTTTCTTTTTTCTTTCCCCCGTCTCTCTGTCTCCCTCCCTCCTTCCTTTCTTCTCTCCCTCTCACCCTCTCCCTCTCTCCTTCCCCCTTACTCTCCTTATTCTCCCCCTCCTTCCTTTGTCCCTCTTTCATCACTCTTTTCTTTATCTTCTGGCAACACCCATGCCCCATGTGTGCTCTTCTTCATACTATTCTTACCCATATCCAAGGGTGGCATATATTCCTGTGAAATATACCAGAAAACAGGGATTGGTCCTGTATAAGCCAGTCAGTTCAAGAGTTGTTGCTTCAGTTTTCAGTACCAGAGACCCTGTGGTTACATCCAGGGCCTTGGCCTTAGACCTGTTCCCCTTTATTCACCCCTACCCTGCTGAGCAGCAGTCCTGTCAGCTAGTACACACTATTCACCACACTGTTCTATTTTGCCTGGCAGGAGTTGGGGCTCCTTACCACCTCTTTTCCTACATACTCAGGTGTCTCACTTCTTATCTTTCACTTTCTCAAGGCCTTTACCACTCTTTATTCGAATAACTCTGTCCTTCTCACTGATCTATAACTCTCAAGGGCAAAGACTATGTTCGATTCATCTCTGTATCACCAGAGCTATACAAAGAAGGTACACAATAAACACACACACAAATGCTTATCAAATGAATAAGCCAAGATTAGAGGATTTGAAGCTCAGTGTTGACTTATTCAAACTTCTCAACCACTGCCCTATTCCTTTTTTAGAGAAAAATGGGAAAATTGGCCAGATTGATTTTTTTCTTCCAAGATAACTTAGGGTAGGGTCACTGTTCATTGGTCAGTAGCACTCATTTATTCTATAAATATTTATTGAGCATCTACTGTGTGTCTGGCATTCCTATATGTGCTTGGGATACACCGATGAACACAATATCTGTGTGAAGTGAACATTTTCTTTCTCAGGATTTACCCTTGGTATGAAGGAGATTTGAGTACTGGGAGCTGAGGAGGACCACTAAGATTCCCACACCAGCTCCTTGCAAGATATTCTACTTCATTTTAGGGAAAGAGGGGGTGGGGGCGGAAGCTGCCTGGGAAGTGATTTCAGCTCTGGTTCCCTAAGCTGACTTCCTGTCCCTTTCTTGCTGTAGGAGAAACGCCCCTGTCAGTAGGCCGCACTCATGGCATGTGGCCAAGCTGCTAGAGGGATGCCCTGAAGCAGCTACCACCATGCATATCCCTTCTGAAGCCTTCAGCTTGTCCTGGCATTCTGGCTGTAACACAAGGTGAGTTTACAGTTCTCCTCTCAAGATCGTCTGGAGGGTAGACAATGTGGCCACTCCTCTTCTGCTCTAGAACCAATTAGATATTATAGAGCCCAGAGTGCTGTAATGGAAAATGGAGTGGGAGTTCAGTCTGTGTTCTAGTCCTAGTCTGCTGCTAACTCTGTGACTTTGAGTCAGTCCTATTTCTTCTGGAAAATGTTCCTTGAAGTATTTAACTCACTTGGCTTAAAAGGTACCACATTTCCCTGCTTTTCATACTGTTTCACTAGCTGCTCTTTTGCAGACACTTTCCATGATTCCTCCTCATCTCCTTGATCTCTTTATGAAAGAAGGCCCAAGGGCTCCTTTCCTGTCTACAGTGACTTACTAACAATCTCATCCAGTGTTCATCAGCTCTGTCACAGAACCAAAGCCCTCAGAATGAGACCTCCCTGAATAACAGGATCTACATGCAGTGAGAATCTCTCAATGCAGAGAGTGTGGTATAGTCTGTTGTTCAAACAACTGCCCAGAAGAAGAGGCAGACAACTATTTCAGCAAGCTCAGAACCAGCAAATCTGTTGGCCTCAGCTGTCTTTTTCCTCCCATAACAAGATCATCCCTCCAAGGAGGGATTTCTGTTGAGGAGGCTCAAGGAAGCTAAAGGTTGAGTTTGCCCCCACTTGGTGACTTTACTTGGCATTGGAAACCATGGGCTCAGGGAAGAGGCAGAGAAAATTTTGCTCTGGAGGAATACACAGAAACACATTTTGAGCCTGGCTCCTATTGGAGTGAGGGTGTGGTTGCTTTCAGCAGTAAGGGTGGTAGGATGGGCAGCACATCCCCTTGTCAGAAAAGAATTGAAGGATTCCAGCCCAGAGGTCAAGTGAGCAGAGTGGCTAAGGGGCAACACAGGAACAAGAATTAGGGGAAACTGACCTGAGAGTTTCATGGGCTCCTGCCACTACTCAGCTGTAGCTTTCTGAACTGTGGCCCTTCTGAGTATAACCTGCAACCTCTGAGGTTCTAGTCATCGGGAGTTATGACATGACTTGGCTCAATTTGGCTTTGGGTGTGAGAAATCATACTTAAAATTCAAGATCGTGTCTGATCTTAGTCCCTCCCTTGGTCTCCCCAGGTTAGCTTTACATAACATGGGGGATGAGGGCAGCATCACAGGCAAGTGCCACTGTACTATCAATACTAGTAGTAGAGAGGATGCTGATAAAAATAGAAATGGAAATAGCAATCAAGAGAGGAACAGCTACCATGTATTGAACTTTTGCTAGGTACCCATGCTATGATAAGAGGTTTACTTTTATTTATTTATTTTTAGAAAGAGGGGAAAGGAAGGAGAAAGAGAGGGAGAGAAACATCAATGTGTGGTTGCTTCTTGCATGGCCCTTACTGGGGACCTGGCCTGCAACCCAGGCATGTGCCCTGACTGGGAATCAAACTGATGACCCTTTGGTTCACAGGCTGATGCTCAATCCACTGAGCCACACCAGCCAGGAAAACTTTTATTATATAATTTCACTCACAAAGCAACCCTCTCATGCAGATATTACTATATTCCCATTTAACAGATAGCAGAAAAGCTAAGACACTGGACTTACAGAGACCTGGGTTCTAATTCCAGATCTCCTTCTTTTAGCAGCTTTGTGATCAGTTTACTTGACTCTTGAAGTTTCAGTTTTCTCAGTTGTAAAGTGCAGATAATAATTTATTGCCCTAAGTTTGAAATAAGACACCCTACAGTGCTTGACACATTGCAGGTCTCCAGTAAATTGTCAGTATTATTATTATCAAGGAAAAAGAAAAACAACAGGGGACGCCTAAATCCCAGTTTTGTCTGGGCCACAGGCTAGAACTAGGTGATCTTGAGAAAAATCACCTCTTCAAAATCACTTCCCTTGTGGGACTTGCTTTATACCAGTGGTTCTCAAAACCATACTCCCTGGACCAATAGCAGCAGTATCACCTGACAACTTGTTAGAAGTAAAAGTTCTCAGGATTCACCCAGACCTAAAACTTTGGTGATGAGGCCCAAGTAGCCTGTGTTTTGACAAGCCCTCTTTGTGATTCTGATGCATGGTAAAATTCCAAAAGCAATGATTTACAAAATAGGCTAGCTGAAATTGAATCAGCCCTTTAGGCCCTTCTCTAATGGTAATAGTCTGTGATTGCCTCTCCTGGCACAGAGCCCCATGCTGACTCCCAAGGGACAGTGACAGGTTTGAAGCAATTTTAGACTCACTGATGTCAAACAGAACATAATCCCCAATGGACTCCTCATACTTTTAGTCTTTGGGATGTTGCTCCATCCTCCTTCCATATGCTGTTTTATTTCCCATTTTACCACATCACTGTAGTGTCCCAGTGTCCATCCCTTTCCTTATTTTCCTTACTTCTTTTCTTGCTTTGTATCACTCTCATTTGTGGCATGGGTACCTCTGGGTTGTCCTGCCTTCTCCCATGGCAGGGCTGGCCACAATGAAAAAGGGATCTGGTAATTTGGCTAACTAATCAGTATGCCCTGTGTCTTGCAGTGACGTGTGTGTGCAGTGGTGTCCACTCTCCCGGCATTGCAGCACTGAAAAAAGCAGCTCCATTGGGAGCATGGAGAGCCTGGAACAACCAGGCCAAGCCACCTATGAGGGTCATCTCTTGCCCATTGACCAGAACATGTACCCCAACCAGCGTGACTCAGCTTACAGCTCCTTCTCCGCAAGCTCAAATGCCTCTGACTGTGCCCTTTCCCTCAGGCCAGAGGATCCAGCCTCTGCAGACTGTGTCATGCAAGGCCCTGGATTAAGTAAGGCCCCTAATGGCAGACTTAATGTGGTTGAGACTTCAGGAGGCACCCAGCATACCAATGGGGGCCATTTGACTCCCAGCTCCCAGATGTCATCCCTCCCACAGGAGGTCCACCACTCAGGGCCTACCAAAGCTGCCAAGGGTCCACCACAACCTCCAGTGAGGCGAGATAGTCTTCAGGCCTCCAGAGGCCAACTCCACAATGGAGAGCAGCGGAGGGCTTCTGAGCCTATGTACTCTTTGCAACAGAAGAAGAAACCAAGCTTAGACACTGAGCTGTGCCCAAGGAACCCTAACAAGTTCTGCTGCATCAGTGGGCAAGACCAAACGACAAATCAGAGCCATCAGAATTGTAAGCTCAACCAACCTCCTGAATCTAATCAGCAGGGCTATGAGCACCTACTGATAGAAGCCTCAGCCAAAGCTGTTGGATTCCAAAAATCATATGACAAAGTTTCCAGCATAGATTCCAGCCCACTCAACAAGATTTCAGCAGAGCTAGCTAAGACTTCTTCTTTTGGCAGTCCTTCACACCTCACGGGACCCACAGGTCATCGCCATAGTGCCCCCGAACGGCTGCTGGCATCCCATTTGCAGCATGTGCACCTTGATACCAGGGGTAGCAAGGGGATGGAGCTCCCAACTGGGAAGGATGGGCATGAGTGGACTCTGTCTCTTTTGCATAGCAGCCACGCAGGGAAGAAAAGTCCATGTCCTCCTGCAGGGGGAAACCAGGACCAGCCCAGCAAGGAGAGAAAGACCAGACAAGTGGATAATAGGCCTTTGGGTTCAGGGCACCAGAGCCCAAGCAGCTCCCCCCATGAAGAAACCGATGGACACCCTCCAGAAAGAGGTTTCCAGGACCCAAACAGAATAAGTAGAGCAGGTAATGAATTGGCCAGCCAGCAGCCCTCTCCCTCTGGCTCTCTTGTTCAACAAACCAGGGACTGTTCTTCAACCACTAAAGTAGCTGTCACCACAGAGGCAACTGAAGAAGGGAACAATGAGCCCAAGGAGTGTGGCCAGGTGGGTGGTAGGCGAAATGGAGGAACCCGGGGCCGCTCAATCCAAAACCGGCGGAAGAGTGAGCGTTTTGCTACCAACTTGCGTAATGAAATTCAGAGGAGGAAGGCTCAGCTCCATAAAAGCAAGAGTCCCTTATCACAGCTGTGTGACACTAAGGAGCCAGTGGAAGAGACTGAGGAGCCCCTAGAAAGTCTTCTACTTCCTGCCTCTAACTCACCTCTTCTACCTTCATATAAAAAACCACCAAGCCCTAAAGACAAGACCTTTAACAAGAGTATGATGCTTAGGGCTAGATCTTCAGAGTGCCTCAGCAAAGCCCCTGAGAGCCATGAATCAAGGACAGGCTTGGAGGGACAAATAAGCCCTGGCCAGAGGCCTGGCCAGTTCTCTATGCACCTGAACACCTGGTGGAAAGCATCTGATCCACCCTCTTCAGACTCTGAGAAAACAAAAGTTCACCATGGAGTCCATGGAGGTCATTGGAGATGGTCTCCAGAGCACAACCAGCAGCCGCATGTGGCACTAGTCATGGAAAGCTCTTCCAACCCAGGAGATAACAAGGAATTGAAGGCTTCTACTGGCCAAGCTGGGGAGGAAGCCATCCTCTTGCCCTTTGCAGACAGAAGAAAGTTTTTTGAAGAGAATAGCAAATCCTTATCAATTTCTCATTTGCCAGGTTTAACCACTCATAGTAATAAGACTTTTACCCAGAGACCAAAACCTATAGACCAAAACTTCCAGCCAATGAGCTCCAGCTACAGGGAATTGAGGCACCATCATATGGACCAATCATATCATTCCACAGACCAATCATATCATTCCATTTCTCCCCTTCAGTCAGAAACTCCTACTTACTCAGAATGTTTTGCAAGCAAGGGTCTAGAACAATCTGTGTGTTGTAAGCCACTGCACTGTGGTGATTTTGATTACCACAGGACCTGCTCTTACTCTTGCAGTGTCCAGGGAGCTATAGTACATGACCCTTGCATTTATTGTTCTGGGGAAATCTGCCCTGCTTTGAGAAAGAGAAATATGATGCCAAACTGCTACAACTGTCGGTGCCACCACCACCAATGCATTCGGTGTTCAGCTTGCTATCATAATCCCCAGCACAGTACCCTTGAGGACAGCAGCTTGGCACTTGGCAATGCTTGGAAACCCAGGAAGCCAACAGTGCAGGTGAGGACTTGGTTCTTGCATGGGTGAGCTTCATTATTCTCTTTCTAAAGAGAAAGTGAGGTGAATCATTTGAAAACAATTATTTCTTAAAACTGTATAGTCCTGGTCTACCATATGGTAGCTTATTAACCTTGCGCAGGACACTCAGCCACCAAAATTGCAGTTTCCTCATTTTTAGAGTTAGAGTAAAATAACTTTTCCTTCACAAAATGGACAGAACTAGGATTTACAGCCTAACTCTATAATTGGTATCTGAGTGACCTTAAGCAAGTTATTCAACCACCAAAATTTGCAATGATGTAATTTTTTAAACTTAAATATGTTATTGTTTATGCTATTACAGTTGTCCCAATTTTTCCCCTTTGCACCCCTCCACCCAGTCTGCCTCCCACTCCCACGGTCAATCCCCACACCATTGTCAATGTCCATGGGTCATGCATATATGTTCTTTGACTAATACCTTCATGTTCTTTCAACCATTCCCCACATCCCCCTCCCCTCTTACAGCTGTCAGTCTGTTCCATGATTCTATGCCTCTGGTTCTATTTTGCTTGATTGTTTATTTTGTTCACTAGATTCCTATTATAAGTGAGAGCATATGATATTTGTCTTTTATCAACTGGCTCATTTCACTTGGCATAATAGTGTCCAGTTGCATCCATACAGTCGCAAAAGGTAGGAATTCCTCATTTTTTTCTGCTCTGTAATATTCCACTGTGTAAAAGTACTACAGTTTTTTGATCCACCCATCTACTGATGGGCACTCAGGCTGTTTCCAGCACTTGGATATTGTAAATAGTGCTGCTATGAACATAGGGGTGCATAGGTTCTTTTAGATTGGTGTTTCAGGGTTCTTAGGATATAATCCCAGCAGTGGAATTGCCCGTTCAAAGGGCAGTTCTGTTTTTAATTTTTTGAGGAAATTCCATGCTGTTTTCTACAATGATTATACCAGTCTGCATTCCCAACAATAGTGCACTAGAATTGCCTTTTCTACACATCCTCTCTTGCACTTGTTGTTTGTTGATTTATTAATGATGGCCTTTCTGACCAGTGTGAGGTGATATCTCATTGTGGTTTTAATTTGCATCTCTCTGATGGGTAATGATGTTGAGCATCCTTTCATATGTTTCTGGGCCCTCTCTATGCCATCCTTGGAGAAATGCCTATTCGAGTCCTTTGCCTATTTTTAATTGAATTGTTTGTCTTCTTGGTGTTGAGTAGCATAAATTCTTTATATATTTTAGAAATTAAGTGCTTATCATATGTATCATTGGCAAATATATTATCCCATATGGTGAGTTCCCTTTTCATTTTGATGATGGTTTCTTCAGCTGTGCAGAACCTTTTAAATTTGATGTAGTCCCATTTGTTTATTTTTTCCTTTGTATCCCTTTCCATAAGAGATATATGGGCAAATATAGTGCTACATGAGATACCTGAAATTTGACTGCCTATGTCATTCAACCATGAAAATTTGTAGTTATGTGATTTTTAAGAGACAAAAAGAATTTTTACTTCATAAAATGGGCAGTACTAAATAAAGTCTAATTACCTCATCACTGAAGTGGAGGAAAATAATGGCTGTCTCATAAATCAGTTGTGAGGATGAAATAAGATTGTGTATATAGAGTGTCAGGACTAGTCCTGATACAAAACAGCATGTATTCCCTTCCATTTCCTGCTTTAAAACTATTTGGAGCTCCAAAATTTGCAAATGGTCCTCCAAGCTTTGCTTTCAGAGATCTGACTTGTCTGGTTTCCTAAAGGATGAATCCTTTCCCCTCTTCTCCAGTCTCTCTCTCTGTCAGAGAACCAGGTTTAGACTGGCTGTTGCTATACCTGGTTATGACCTACCAACCTAACATAAGCCACCGCCACCTCCCAGGGTACTTCTGGGAGGACCCCATAGGTCCTGATCAGCTCACTGCCAGATTTCTTCTCTATGGCTTTCTTAGTGCCACCTTTTGGCTGGTGCATTCAAACCAGAAGTTAGTTTCTGTGTTGAACTGTTGTTGCATAGGCAGACACTTCTGAGTGACTCTATGTATAAAATTGTTGAATGCATATTCTTTGAATAAATGAAACTTAGGAATGAAAGAAGCCTTATACAAAAGAGTACATACTCTACTATTAATTTTAAATAAAGTTCTTTTTTATTATTCTTGTTTACTATTCAGTTGTGCCAATTTTTCCCCCCTTTGCCCTCTTCTGCCCATCCCACCCCTCCTCCCACAGTCCAGGGGTCATTAATACCTGTTCTTTGACTAAACCCTTCCCCTTCTTTCCACCATTATCCCCCTCACCCTCCCCTCTGGCAACTGTTAGTCTGTTCCATGTTTCCATGTCTCTTGTTTTCTTTTGCTTGTTAGTTTATTTTGTTCATTAGATTCCTCTTTTAAGTGAGATCATATGGTATTTGTCTTTCACCAACTGGCTTATTTCACTTTGCGTAATGTTCTCCAGATCCAACCATGCCATCAGAAAGGGTAGGCGATCTTTCTTCCTGCTGCATAGTATTCCATTGTGCACCATAATTTTTTCTAACCCATTCATCTACTGATGGGCACTTAGGCTGTTCTAAAACAATTATTCTATGGAAAAATAATTCAAAACAGTGGTTGCCTATGGGAGGTTGCACAGAGATGGACTGTGAAAGGTTGTAAGGAACTTAGTTGGGTCATGATAACATCCTGTATCTTGACAAGAGTTTGAGTTACACAGGTGTATACATTCATCATAATTCAACAAAGGCATAATTAATATTTGTGCATTTCACTGGAAGTAAATTTTGCCTTAAATATTATAAACAAATATGGAACTTTATTTAATGATATGTATGCTGAAGTTTTTGAAGTCTATTGGTGCTCTAACTTACTTTATAGTTTTCAGCATACAAATGTTGCACATATTTTGTTATATTTATCCCTAAGATTTCATGACTTTGATGCTATTGTAAATAATATTTTTTAATGTCAATTAAAATTCTTTGTTACCATTACATAGAAATACAATTCCATTTTGTTGTATTGGTGTTGTATCCTGTAAGTTTTTCAAAGTCATTCATTGGTTCTAGTAGCTTTTTAGTAGATTTTTAAAGATTTTCTAAATAGACAATCAAGTCACCTGCAAATGGAAATAATTTCAATTTTTTCTTTCCACTGTATATGCCTTTTCTAGGGAAGAGAGGGGCCTTAATGCACTGTCTAGGACCTCCAATACAAGGTTTAATAGAAGTGGTGAGAGTGGGTATTGTTGCTTTGTTCCCCATATTTCACTATTAAATACATTAATTGTAGGTTTTTTATAGATGCCCTTTATGAAGTTGAGGATGTTACCTTTTATTCCTAGCTTTTATCAAGAGTGGATATTGGATTTTTTTCAAAATTTTTTTCTGTACCTATTGAGATGATCATGTAGTTTTTCTTTTTTAGTCTACTGATATAATGAATTACATCGATTGATTTTTGAAACAAGAACCAGCCTAGTATCACCCACTTTGTCACAATGCATTTATCCTTTTTATGTGTTACTAGATTTGATTTGTTCATAGTTTGTTAAAGATTTTTGTGTCTATGTTTATCATGGATTTTAGTCTGTAGTTATCTTCTAATATCCTTGTCTGGTTTTTATATCCAGGTGCTGGTTTTACCAAATGAACTAAAAGGTATTCCCTCCTCTTCCAATGCTCAGGAAGATTTTGTATAGGATTGGTATTATTTCTTCCTTAAATGTTAAATAGAATTTATCATTGAAGCCAACTGGGCCTGGAGTTTTCTTTGTGGAAAGATTTTTTAAACTACAAATTTAACTTCTTTAATAAATATAGGGTCATTTAGGTTATCTATTTCTTCTTGAATGAGCTTTGGTAGCTTGTCTTTCAAGGAATTTGTCCATTGCATTTAAGCTTTTGATTTATATAGGGATAACATTGTTTGTAACTTAATTTGAAATGCATCAAGAAATTAAGATGGATTGGTGGGGGGATAGAGGAGTGAACAGAGAGATATGTGATAAGACAAACATGGTAAAATACTAATCATAGAATCTAGGTAGTGGATATATGTGTATTAATTGTAAACTCATTCAACACTTCTGTATACTTGAAAATATCCATAATAAATGTTAAAAAGAAAGAGGAGAAGCCCTAGCTGATGTGGCTCAGTGAACTGAGTGCCAGGCTGTGAGACAAAGCATCACTGATTCAGTTCCCAGTCAGGGCACATGCCTGGGTTGCAGACCAGGTCCCCAGGAGGGGGTGTGTAAGAGGAAACCACACATGGATGTTTCTCTCTCCCTCTCCCCCCCCCCCCCGGCATTTCCCTCTCTAAAAATAAATAAATTAAATCTTTTAAAAAAGAAATAGGAGAAATATAAAATAATTTTTTAAGGGCACTGATGCTGGAATCAGACAGCCTAGGTTCAAATTCCTATGCTTTCCCACTTAAAATGGAGGTAATAACAGCACCTACTTCATAAGTTGATTGTGAGGATTAAATGATGGAACATGTGTGAGGCATTTAGAACAGTGACTGCAAGATCGTAATCATCTTATAAGTGTGAGTTATTATCTTTTAAAATAAGGGGAGAGATTGGCTTAGCTTAGGAAAGTTTGTTCAAAGAAGGACCTGTAAGTGGACCATAGGAAAAAGGGACTGAAGCAGGGTTGGGGTATGGTGTCAAGGAGATGGTGGCTGTAGATGTGTCAGCCCCAGGCCCATAACTCCATAAAAGACGGAGGTGAAATTTGCAGGTTGCATCAGTTGGCAGCAGCAATGCAGGTTTTCTTTTACACTCTGGGAAAGGGATATATTCAGTTTCTAATGCCTATTAGACTAGCTGAGCAGGTCTTCTTAGACACTAGGCTTTTAGACATGTGGATGGCCATCTAAGAGCCACTGTATGCCCATTCTTACCCCTGCCACCTGAACATACACCATCCTTAGACATGAGGAAATATTGTAGCATGGATTAAGGCACCCCAGCCCATATGACTAGGGCTGTGTGAAGTAGGGCTGATTTCCTTCTCCTTCTAGCCCCTGGAAGATGTTAGAGAGCTAACTGGCTCCTGTTTAGCACTGTTAAGAGAACTAAAATCAGTACATACTTACATCCCTCATACTTCATGCCAGTTAGATTTCCATTTACTATCACATTATTTCATTTAACAATTGTATGATATGTTATAATAGGATCCCCATTTTACAGCTGAGGAAACTGAGGCTGATGGAGGTCACACATCTAGCAAATGGCAAAGCCAGCATTTGAACAATAGCTAACAACTGAATATCTACTGTGCACCAGGTATTGTTCTATGCACTTCAAATATATCATCAACTCATGCAGTCCTCAAAGCAATCAAGAAATAGGTAATGTTATCACAATTATACTATTAAATAGCTGGGGGAAATGAGATAAAGAGAAGTTGTATATTTTTCTTGAGGTCACATAGCAAGTGTGGTATTTGAATCCATGTAGTTTAGCTTCAGGGCCCAAGCTCCTAATCATGCTATACTGTCTCTCCATAAGCTGATTTCAAAGCCCAGGCTTTGTCCAGTATGGCAGGATGCCTTTTAGCAGTATATCTTCTATTGGGGCAGCAAGTTCCCACTACAGTCAATCACCATCTGCAACAAGCCATGGTGTAACTACCTCTTTGGTTCAAAGGGTGCAGGCAATTTACAGCAATCTAAGCTCAAGAAAAAAATGTAATGTGATACTGGGAATCTGCAAAGGAGGCTGGGAGTTGGGACACAACTTTGTTTGGTTTGGCCACTGCTAATTACAGAGTACTTCCCATAGGGCTAGACAGGGCATGGACAGGAAATCCTGGCTCCCACTGTGGCTGAACAAGTATGAGGGCAGGGACATCTCACAAGGGTGTCAAGGCAGAGTCTGAAATCTAACAAGTGGTTAGAGCTGCTCTAACAGACAGGTACAGACAGAGGCTGCTCTGATTCTATAAAAGCTGAGAAACCATCCTTTCTCTGGCAACTAACATCCAGAGCCTCCTTTGTGCTGAGCACTGTGCTAGGCATTCTGTATGCACATTCCATTTTATCCTGACTACTAGGACCCAAGCAAGGCTACGTAGTAAAGTTCCTATTTGCCAGATGGGAATCTGAGGTTCAGGAAGGTGACACAACTTCCCTCAAATAACACAGCTATTAAGTATCTTAGCTAGTATGACTGACACTAAATGTCTTAATTCCAAAAGGGAGTAATTTTTTTATTTAACTAGGACAAAGGTAATAAAACTTTAAATTGGTCCAATAATAGCATTGGAGAAAGTGAGAATTTGGAAGATCAGTGAGGCTTAGAACAACTGTGTCCTCCTGTTGGGCTAACCTATGAGTTTCGAGAGAGGGGGTGCTGAATACAAAAGTGGGAAGAATGTCAAAGGCAAATTTGGATTAGGTTTGGAGCTAGAATAGGAAGGTAGGGATGTGTTTACAAGTGGCATGCATAAAGAGAGACAAGAGTTGCTTTGGCAAAGCCCTTGTGGAAAAAAAGTGCCCACAGTGAAGAATCTACTCCTGTAATGTCAGGAACATGATGCATAGCACTCAGGCTCCCCAGGGATAAACCCATTTCAGCTCCTGCCAGTGAATCTGGAAGAAGGAAGGGCCACATCAGTACAGCAGTGTGCTGGAATGCATGATCTCCCTCTGCCTCACTCTAGGAAAGGGTTACAGCAGCAGGAGCTTTAGGCTTTGATGGCCCTTCAAGGACCAGGGCTTCCAAGAAGATGTTTTCTATGTTGGAAGAGTCAAAACGAAAGGGCAGGTTCACCAGGGAGAACAAACAAAAAGACCTCCTTTGCAACAGCCAGAACAAACAGCAAACATGCTAAACTGGTTTTTAACGTGGTTTGGGAGGGGAGGGGAGAAACAGAGGAAAACATAGAGTTTCTAGACTACACTGCCCAGGTCCCTGAGTGCTCTCTTAGTCTCTGCAAGCTGCCAGAAGTTTATAGGCCTCCTGACAGAAAGGCAGCCTCCATGTACATTTCTCTAGCCTGCATGGGAGAATAGAAGGAACCAGATATGGGTCCTGGACGGGGACAGGTTCCTAAATTCTTCACATTTTTTTGAAACCAGCTAGATACCTGACTGCTTAGAGCTCCCTAACTTATCAGAATTTTGCTTTGCAGGAATTTCCTGTGGACAAATGGAAATCGACAACAGGAAACAGGAAGACCAGCCAGTCAGGGAGGTAAGTGGCTTCTCAGGGTTCTGGGGTGAGTTGGTGCCTCTGAAGTTTCTATAGAAATGGTAAGCTCTTCTATTTGTTCACCTTTATCTAAGGAACCTGGTTTGGTGTTTACAGCAAGGGTTTGATGCCACAAACGTCATTCAGTCTGCCCCCAGGCAGTGGGTTACAGACCAAACTGATCACTAGGACAAAAAAAAAAAAAAGAATATGAAGTAGTCAGGCAGTTTTGTGGGACGTTGTGCCCATCATCTCAGAGGCCTGAGGCAAGCCTGCCCAGGCACAAGAACATGTAGGACCAGACCATGCTGAAACAGATGAGAAGGCATAAATTATGCCTGCCTTCCCAGTGGCCATTGGACAGTTGGAGGGAGCAAAAAGTAGGTAAGACTATCAAGCTACTGCTGTGCCTTTGCTTCAGAGTTGTTGGAGGTACTTGTTTCTTGGGTTCTGCAACCTTTCTTTTTATAGGGTTTATTAAAAACTTAAGGTCTGCTCATTTAAAATCCAAGGGCAGATTATACTAACAATAGGTTAAAATTCCTAAGAGAAAGCAGGGACATTTTCACAAATGGCATATATGGCTTGGGCTAGTGGGAAAAGAGTTGCTTAGGCAAAGCCCTTAAGGAAAAAAATGCCCAGATTGGAGTCTGCTCCTGTAATGTGGGGAGCATGGCACACAGCTTTCATATTCCCCGGGGATGAGCCTACCTGCCATAAGTGACTATAAGGAGTGACAGTTACTTTTTCTGGGGTGGTCTACATCAGCCTGGCTGGACCCTCTCTTTTGTGAAATTCCTTGATGCACTCTTACAGTCAGTTCTTCTCCAGGCCTAATTATAAGACACCTTTAAGTTATATTGATTCTTTAACTCAAATTCCAGGAATGAAGGAGGGATAGGGAAAAAAGCTCTTAGCTGTGCCTTGATAGGGGCACTTAGGAAGGGGACACGAAAGGAGAAAATTAGAATCTGGGCCTGACCCCGGAAGAACCTGAGATTCTTTCTGGGGTTCTATATTGTCCCCTGTGATTTGGTGGTATAGTCAGGAATAATTTTGGCTTTCTTTTGATTCCAAAGTTTCAGAAACCTATTCATTTTCTGGTTGTCAATGAAAAATGGAGGAACCCAATATAAAGTGTTAGTCACTGGGCTGGATCTTTTTATACCCATAATATCTTTTATTCTCCACAGCAGTTAATTTTTACTAGCTATTTGATAGATGAGGTGCAGAGAACTTATGTAACTTAGCTGAGGTCACATAGTATAACCAATGGAACCAGGATTCTGAGACCCAGGTTTGTCTGGCCCCAAAGTTCATGCATTTTCCATCATAATTACTTCAATTAAGATCCCTAAAGAAATACTTCAAACTGATCACTCAACATCGTGTCTCATGAGTCTATCTTGGATGGGAATACTATGGGATTTTATGGTTAGTCTTGATTCCTCTCTGTGAACTGGCTTGTATTATATTCTTGGAGAACTTGTTTCGATCTAATGGGTCTGCAGAGTTTCCCATATTAGACTGAAACCTTTGAGAGAGAAGACCACACCTTGGTTTTGTCATAGACTTACTCCATGTGCCTAGCACAGAGAAATTGCTCAGGAGTATTTTTCATTTGATTGCCAAATGAAGAAACAGAGTCTCTACCACTGAGTGGATGAAATGACACAAAAACAATAATGCTAATTAACATTTCTTGAGCACAGTGTTCTACTCTGGGAACCATTCAAAGCACTTTACATGTATTTATTACTATAACATTAAGGGATGGGTACTATTAATCCCCCCATTTGCCCAAGAAGAGAAACAGAAGCAAACACAGATAAATAATTTGCCTGAAGTCCCACAGATATTAAGTTGACTAAATCCAGGCAGTCTTACTTCAGAGATACTCCACAGTAAGTTCTCACTTAACATCATCAACGGGTTGCAAATTTAAGTGAAACCATGCAATGAAATCAATTTTACCTTAGGCTGACTGATATAAACAAGAATTAAGTTCCTATGGAATATATTCTGGGCACAAAAACCACACCAAATTTCTAAATGAAGACCCAAAACACTTGTAATATTAAATGTTGATATAAAGATGAATACAAAATTAATTCTTTTCTAACCCACCTACTTCAGTTCAAGGTTGCAGATGGCCAGAGTCAATCCTAGTGGCTCAGGGAACAAGGTTGGATGCAACCCTGGATAGGATGCCTTTCCATCTCAGGATGCACTCACACATGCACCCACACCCACACTCACTCAGATTGGGATAATGTGGACATGCCAATTCACTTCACATGCACATCTTTGGGATGTGGGAGGAAATATACACAGAAGAACATGTGAACTCCACACAGACAGTGGCCCTGGCTGGAAATCATTTTTTTCCTCATCAATGTTTTAACAAGATACCATTGAACAAAGTGATGTTAAAGACCTGCTATACTACTCTACAGTGCTTCTCCAAAAATGGTTCTCTTACCAACCAGTCAGTAAAGTAACAAGACTTTATTCAAAACTTAGTGTATGTACTACCTTTTTGTAGATGAGCAGGGAAATAATAAAGAGCTCCAGGAAGCATGATGCCTACCCACCCACAGCTTGAGCAAGAAAGACTAACCCACACAAAGTAGCAGTAATAATAAATTACCATTTGCAAGACAACCTACATGCCACAGCTAGGTTATAGATATTATGTTTTATTGTCCCCAAAACTCTGTCAGATAGGTATTATTATAGCTAGGATGGTGGTTCTTAAACTTGAGTGTACACTAAAAAATACCTGAAAGGCTAATTAAAACAGAGAAATAGGTAGATCTTACCCCCAGCAAGTGTGATTCAGTAGGTGTGCAGTGGGGCTCAAACTGTGTATTTCTAAAGAGCTCCCCAGGTGATGCTGATGGGATCACACTTTGAAAACTGTTGATTCAGATAAAGAATCTGAGATTCAGACAAACTAAGTAATTTACTGAAGTTCTCATGGCTACTAAAGGGACAAACCAGAATTTATCATTTTAATTTTATTTTTTAATCCTCTCCTGGGGATATTTTTATTGACTTTAGAGAGAGAAGAAGGAGGGAGGAGGGAGAGAGAGAGAATGAATATGGTTGCCTCCAATAGGCACCCCAACCAGAAATTGAAACCAAAATTTAGGTATGTGCCCTGTCTGGGGATCGAACCCAAAACATTTTCATGTATGGAACAATGTTCTAACCAAGTGAAACACCCATCCAGGGCAGGACAAGCCAGGATTTAAATCCACTTGTTGCTTATTCATGCAAGTTGCTATAGGATGAAGTGTCAAATACATGGTTTAAACAAGAAATGCCTGGCACATGGCAAGGGGCCAATACATAAGTGTTATTGTGCTTTAAGTTCATTGGAGGTTAAGTAAAGTGAAGGTTGGGACCTATAGGAGGAAAGGACCAGAGGGGAGACTAAGTAGGGTATGTGGGAGGAATAAGACCCCCTGGTTAAGGGTTTTGACCTTGGAGTCAGTCTGCCTGGGTTCAAATCCAGCTTCATCCATTCTCCAGCTGTATTAGCTTGGGATGTTTCTCACTCTCTCCTTTGTTTTTTTCTACATTTTTTAAATTGTTGTTCACGTACAATTGTCTCCATTTTTCCCTCACCACTCCCTGCAACCCCAACTACCCCCACTTCCCACCCTTGATCCTACTCCCCTTTGGTTTTGTCCATGTGTCCTTTATACAAGTTCCTGACAATCCTTCCCCCTTTTCTGCCCATTATTCCCTCCCACTTTGCCTCTGGTTACTGTCAGTTTGTTCTTAATTTCAGTATCTCTGGTCATATTTTGCTTGCTTCTTTGTTTTGTTGATTAGGTTCCACTTATAGGTGAGATCATATGATATTTGTCTTTCACCACCTGGCTTATTTCACTTAGCATAATGCTTTCCAGTTGCATCCATGCTGTTGCAAAGGGTAGGAGCTCCTTCTTTCTTTCTGTTGAGTAGTATTGCACTGTGTAAATGGACCATCATTTTTTGATCCATTCATTTCCTGGCAGGCACTTAGGTTGCTTCCAGCATCTACCTATTGTCAGTTGTGCTGCTATAAACATTGGGGTGCATAGGTTCTTTTGGATTGGTGTTTCAGGATTATTAGGGGATAGTCCCAACAGTGGAATTGCTGGGTCAAAAGGCAGTTCCATCTTGTGTTTTCTGAGGAAATTCCATACAGTTTTCCACAGTGGTTACAACAATCTGCATTCTCACCCACAGTGCACTAGTGTTCCCTTTTCTCCATATCCTTTCCAACACTTGCTTGTTGATTTGTTTATGATGACCATTCTGACTGGTGTGAAGTGGTATCTCATTGTGGTTTTGATTTGCATCTCCTGATGGTGAGTGATGCTAAGCATCCTTTCATATATCTCTGGGCCCTCTGTATGTCCTCTTCAGAGAAGTGTCTGTTCAGGTCCTTTGCCCATATTTTTGGATTGTCTTCCTGGAGTGGAGTTGTGTGAGTTCTTTATATATTTTGGAGATAAAACTCTTGTCCAAGGTATCAACATAATAAAGGCCATATATGAGAGACCTACAGCTAACATCATACTCAATGGGCAAAAACTAAAAGCTTTCCCAGCAAGATCAGGAATAAGAAAAAGATACCTGTTTTCACCACTTCTATTCAACATAGTATTGGAAGTCCTAGCTACAACAATCAGATAAGAAAAAGAAATAAAAGCCATCCAAATTGGAAAGGAGGAATCAAAACTGTCATTGTGTGCAGATAACATGATAACGTACATAGAAAATCCTATAGACTCTACCAAAAAATTACTCAACCTAATAAACAAATTTGGCAAAACAGTGGGATACAAAGTCAATATTCATAAATCAAACACATTTTTGTATACCAACAATGAACTATCAGAAACAGAAATAAAAGGAAAAAATCGCATTTGGTATAGCAACAAGAAAAATAAAGTACCTAGAAGTAAACCTAACCAAGGAGATAAAAGACCTGTACTCAGAAAACT